CCTTGAGAAAAAAAATGTCATCCACAGCTTCTAGAGACTGACTTCAAGCCCCAGGTCAGGAACCAAAAAAAAAAAAAGTAGATTACAGAATCTCAACTTAGACCCATCAAATTATACTCTTCATGAGTGAAAACCAAGAATCTGTATGTTAAACACTGAAGAGATCTGGTGTTATCCTGAAAGTTAAAAACTTCTGAAAAGTGGTAGAACTCTATGTCGTCAACCCTTAACATTCCCATTTTCAAATCTAAAGAATTGTTTTAATTCAGTATCACCTGGAGTACCTATGCAAATCCCCTTCCTCTGTCTCTTGCTAGATGTCTTGGGTCATAATTTTCGATTGTGAAAATTTTGATAAACACAAAAATTTTTCAGTACAGATAAAGAAACTGAGGCCCAAGGTTGTCATTATGAATGGTGGTAGAACAAAGCTGATAACCAGCTCTCCAGAAAAGTTGTCCAAATACTATGTCTTTCTGATCACCCGTGAAGAGGAATTTATGTCTCCGTTTATCTTTGTGGCCACAGTATTCCTTATATAATCTGAAGCTCAAGAATGAGAAGTGCGAATACTGATTGGTGGCATGACCCCTGGTCATATGTCTTCTTCCAATGAATTATGAAGTGTCTTGAAATTAAAGTACTGTACAATCACAAAGTTTTCATAAAACCATAGCATTGCAGGCCTGAATTAGTCAGGTTTCTATTATTGTAACAAAGTACCTTAAATAATCAGCTCAAAAGAGGAAAGATCACAGTTTTGAAGGTTTCCATTCATCATTAGATTGACTTCAATTCTGCAAGAAGCACATAGTGAAATAAGCTCTTCATCTCATGGAAGTCAGAAAACAAGAAGAGAGAAAAAGAAGTTGATCCCAATACCCCTTTGAGACCTTTCCTGCAGTGACAGACACCTATTACTAGGCAATCTCTTAAAGGTTTCTACCACTTTTCAATGGTACCAGGCTGAGGACCAAGAATTTAACACATGATCCTTGGAGGAACATTATAGATCCAAACTATAGCAGGACCCTCCAGCCAAAGTGTTTATAGATAACTTCCGAATGGGGTAGTTTTGTATCTACAGAGACTGTTAACTGTGGCTTCAATCTTAACTGAAAGCCAAACCCAAGAATGACATGCTACAGTATAGTAAACACATTTGTTGCTTCTGTTTTTGTAATTGAAACACGTTTCTATTAAGCAAAGGGTTAAGCTTATGAAGTTTTATGTCAGATTTCTGACAATCTCACCAGTATGATACCTTAAACCTGTGCATTTCCAATTCCTGCTGTACCTTTTCAGTGGTAGATCTTCCAGGCTGATAGGCTTGGTCCCAGAATCCTGTGGGTACAACTCAATACAAGATGCCTAATTTCTAAAGGTAGAGAAATTTCTCAAAATGATACAGTAAGCTAGATTTTCCCCTAAAGCATTAAGAAATGCCACTGAAAACAGTGGCATTATACGATTTGCATTTGAGTTAATGCTTATCATTTCAGCATATGTTTCATCAGTGCTACATAATTAAGAAAATTAAATTCTCTGACACCTTGAAAACATAATTCTCTAAGGAACAGGAGATCTTAACAAAGAACTGCAATTTCTGAGGGAAGAAATTTCAGTAGGTTTACAATCCTTTATTTCAATTCTCAAATTAAAAAGCTTTGTAAAATAGAGCTTTTTTCATTAATTTAGTGCCAAAATCCATTTGGCAGCAAATTTTGACCTGAATTGACATGATTTTAGGGGATAACCCTTTAGTATGAATATTCAGATTTTTTTCCTGCAGAAATTTTAATGGCTTAATTGTTGGATGATTCCCCATACACTGCTGGAAGTGTTATATAATAAACAGCAATACTCTGTATCACTTTTCTAAAATTGAAAAAAATAAAATTCTAAAGCACAGATAACTGATTATGGATCTAGAATACCAATGAATAACCCTTACTGAGCCCTTGCCATTTGCTTAAAGTTGTGAGAATCTTTTGTGTTTCATTCAATCATCACAAGGACTATGAGTGAGATATTATAGCATTTACATTGAAAGTTCACAAACTGATTCCCAAAGGGATGAAATAACTTGTGTACTGTCACAAAAATTTCTGTGAGTGTAAGAATTGGATCCAGCTCTGTTTGACTCTAGAATCTCTATGCTTCACTCTTGCATTTTACTGCCTGAGAAAGATAAGGAATTGTGAAGCACAATGAAAATCCACTGTGGGATTGATGCCTGTGTAGAATAGGGTACCTTTACTCTGTGTTATTTGAGGACCAGATTCCTATTCCTATGTCTCTGTGTCACACCTAGTAGCTTTCATTCTTTGTTGTAGTGCTTGCACAAGAACCATGAATATCACAAATCAAATTATCACATCACAATTGCTAGCAATTGGAACTGAACTGATTCTTTTCCTCCTCTCTCTCTTTGTTTTATTAGCATATATTAATATTTCAAAGAAATTTCATTGTAATACATGCATATAATATACTTTGCTCAATTTCACCTTTTCTATTACTTTTTTTTACCTTTCTTCCCTTTTAAAGAAGTTTGTTTCATTGTTCTACTTTTGTACATGTCCATGAAAAACTTCAGTCATATTTCCCCCTTGTCACTCTATCCTTTGACTTTTCCCCCTTCTACTAGTTTCAACATCCAAATAGCCCTTTCATTTTATATTTATTCCATTCATTCTTTTTTAGGGTCTACATTGCACATGTCTGAGAGAGTATGTGATATTTGTTTTGTCCAACCTAGTTCTTATTTTGGGAGCTAAATTAATTTTTATGCACATTAAATTCTGAATAAAAGTAATTGACCTGAGAAAATGCAATCTTTAACCATTATTAACTAATACCTTGCTATCATATTACTAGTTGGTACCTAGCTGGGATGACAAGAATGAATTAATGAATGGGATGGTGGAAAGTAAAAGATGTTGGGAAGATTCATTAGGAGATGAGAAGGGTGATGGATGGAAAGGAGGATATGATAGTTCCTCCCTGATTTGGTAATGTGTGATAAGCATAAAAAACTAACCATTTGTAGATTTCTCAGATGCATTTGAGGAATTTTGGAATCAATCTTGTAATTTTTGCCATTCAGAGGACCTATCTGACATGATTATCATAATAGTGTTCTTCATTAGATAAAGAAACTGTCACCTGAGTTCTTAAAAATCAAGTGGTACTGGGTTTTAAAAAATCAATTTCTAGCCCTCAATCTAATATTGTCTCAGTCTTCTAATATTTTTTCTGTAGACCTAAAGAGGAGGAGCTATCTGATGAAACCTAGGAAAACAACAAATACTTAATTTTTATGTATTTATTAGCAAGGTCTTACTACATTGATAATTCTTCCCTTGAACCTGTGATCTTTTGCCTCAGTCTCCTTAGTGCTAAATCCACAAGTGCTATTTTAAAAGATTCGATGATACATAGTTTTCCCCAAATGACTTATTTTATTTTATTTTATTTTAAATTTTATGGTAAAGGTGATGTACAGAGGGGTTAAAGTTACACGTCAGGTAATGAATACCTTTCTGAACAGTGTCATCTCCTCCTTCATTTTCTCCCACTTTTTACACTCCTGACTTCCTTTCCACCATTCAAGTTGTAAAGTTCATTTCTAACATAGTCTTTACTGAGAATCACTGCTGCTTTTATTCACCTTTTGTCCCATTATTTCTGTGATTCCCCTTCCTCTCCCCAAAGTGACTAATTTTAATATATTTAAATAGTATACTACACAAGAAAGGGTAGTGAGAGGAACTGAAGGGCATAAATGTTCAACTGATATTCTGCTATAGAAATGATTAAGATATCACAGGAGAGATGAGGAGGTAAGATTGAGAACCTTACAAACAAGAACTGTATAATCTTAAAGTTTAAGAATATGCAGTTCTTGTTTGTAAGGTACTTTTAAGAATATGCAGTTCTTGTTTGTAAGGTTCTCAATATTACCTCCTCATCTCTCCTGTGATATCTTAATCATTTCTATAGTAACAAATATATGATCTTAGAGACCAGGTAGCTAGAGAAATAAATGAATTATATACAATTTCAATGATCAGACATTCTCCTTCCCTCAGCAATACAGGATAGATTTCTGTACTGAAAATGAAGTTCAGAAGGTAATTATTCTAATTAAGACTAAGTGCTCTTCACAGCAGTGTTTCTCAAACTTCAATGAACATTATAATCACCTTGAGAATTGTGTAAAAGTGTGAAAAATTATTTGTTCAGTTGTGGATGGGACCTGGGATTATGAATATTTCTAACAATCCCCCCTGGAAAGCTAATGTTCCTTGTTCTCAGATCATGTTTGAGTAGTCAGGAACATGAACTATTACCACGCTCAAACGGTAAATACAAATAAGCTATTTGTGATCCTTGAGGAAGTGCTATTTTGGGTAGCATCTCTAAAGAATATACCAGGTCTGATATTAACTAGCTAAGGGATCTTGAACAAACAACTTTGCTTCTCTGAGTCTCTTGTTTTCTCATCTGTGAAATTACAATTTGGGCATGGATGATCTTTAAGATCAATTTGGATTATAAAATTCATTGGCACTGATAAAAATAAAAGCAATTTTAGAATAAAGGTTAGTATGAGGTCTATTTGCTGCTAACATTAGAAGGAAAGACAGGGAGGAGAAAAATACTGACAATTGTATTATATATATACACATATATATATATATATATATATGTATAGTTTTAATTCCAAGTACTAATGTTATAAGGTAACATATTTCTTCTAAATGTGCAGAACATTGACATTCTCCATGAAGAAGAAGAAACTTTGAGTTGTGGATGACAATTTCTGGCATTTCTCCAGCTCGGCTTTCAGCAGCCCCTAGTGACTTCAAAGCTAACAGCTTTGGCTACCTGCACATGACACTGCCTTTTTTACCACAGAGCAAACCTGTTTGCCCATTGGTCTTCAGAACTGGCACTGTAGTTCTGTTTATGCACACGTGATTCCAGAAGTAACAATGGAGAAGTGTGCAGAATCACCACCTACCTTGCAGGTAGAGCCTTCCTTTCCTTGGGGAGATAATGTGATGATGCAGCGACACATGCAACATCTATCAGAGGATAATCCTACTCTGAAGAGCCAAGTCATGCCTCCTGTGACTACTGCAGTGACATCTATACCCTACTCACTGGAACATCATACTGAGTTTCATAGTGAATCTTCTAATCTCTCAGGGTTTCTGGCTCAAGTGACTACCTACTTGTCACCTCTCAAATGTCCTAATCCTACAGAAGATGCAGAGGTGAAGCATTTTTGTGATGTCCCAATTCACCAGGTTCAAAGGTGTGGTATCATATCAGGGTCTGACCATAGTGCTGTCCTACAGCAATATGAGAACTTTGTTCTTGAGTTCCAGAAGTCATTTGATGAACCCATGCAGCAAGAAATGAACCCTCTGATCTTTGCTGACGCTGACAAAGAGAACAACTCCTCTCAGCAGGATGCTGGTACTTTCCAGGGCTTTACCCTAAACATGAACTGTAATGTGACCAATACAAATCAGAGTAATCAATTTCAAGAGGGATTGGCTGGCCCTATCCAAGTTGAAAGCAGTATCACAGATATGATGAACAATCTCCCAGACTTGATCACACAGTGCATTCAGTTGGATAAGAAATATGACAAGCCAGAGCTCCTACAGTTAGAAACACAGGTCCCAGAGTTGCCTTCCCTGATCTATGACAAATCCCTCTCCAGACCTACAGTTTTACCATCCAAAGAAGAGCATACACAACTTCGAGGAGGCCATAGGCTTCTCACTCCAGCCAAAAGAGCCCGCCAGCAAGAAACTCAGTTGTGTCTTTACTGTAGTCAGGCAGGTCATTTCACAGAAGATTGCCTTGCCAAGCGTTCTCGAAGCCCCAGCACAGACAACCTAGCTCACCAGTAAAAGAAGCCCCGCAAGAACACTTTGTAAATCCCTCTCACCTCCAGCCTTACTGATTTATATAACCTGTAATAACTTAAAAATACAAGAAGGAGAACTCTGACATGAACTCTTAACACTTCCACAAAGTTGAGCAACTAGATCTTATTCCTTGGAAGCCAACACTTCACCAAACTGGAAACAATGATGAAAATAACACAGAGGCTCTTCTAGGGAAATAACAATTACTCCACAAGTACTGAAAGTCTACAGATAGAACTACCCAGTCTGAGCCAATAAAAATAACCTTGGAAGTGTATTAATGTTTCCCTTCCAAACAATGGATAAGATCTGGAATGAGTGTGCCTATGATTGAGTCCAAACTTCATTCATGCTTATGAATTGTAATATCCTATTGTTTAGGATATTAGCCTGAAATCCTAGTTGCATTATTATATCCTGCCAATAATATCCCCTTGGACCTTGATTTCTGCCCAACTGTGACTTGTGACTACCTTCAACACAAACCAATCTTCTTGGACTCGGAGCTCAACTACACTTCCCTACAGCTTGGTATTTTGTTGACATCTAATTACTCCTGCTTGGCCTTTGAATGGAATCTCTTCATCATTGGTAAACCATGTGAATACTGCTTGGAGCTAGTGCTCTCCGTCTTTGAGGAATAGAACTTATGGAAGATACATACTTTAAGCCAAGACTTACCATCTTTATCATACCCCTTTACACCTGAAGTATCCTCCTTTTGCTTCCCATACATCTTATGGCTAAGTCAAAATGGTTTAGGATAATGACCCTTAAAAGGTAGTTACAGTGGGGAAAATGTCTACAGCATGTTCGTACTGCATTGAAAGGGAACTTGTCAAAAACACACCAAGTTACTAGACTCAAGCCCTGCAGCATTCCTGACTTCAGGGGCTTCATTCTGATCACGATCTAGGATCCCAGCTAATTGCTATTGAGCTCTACCCATTAGGACCACCTCTAGGTGAATGGGTGAATCTAGTTAATGATTTTGAAAAGCAAAGAGTGACAAAATACTTTCTGAAATATCCATTTGAAAAATATTGAGGCAATACATTAATACCATCTATGTGCAAAAGTCAAGAAGTGAGGGGAGTTGATTGCTTATATTAGACTCAGCACACATCAGTGCTGTGTATAGATAAATGATGCTTCTGAAAAAAAGTAATGCTGTGTTGGAAAGCCACAACTCCTGAAAATACATTAATAAGGCTATCTGGTGATTAGCGTTTGCTGGTAATTATGAGTCCTCTGTTCTCTGACTCTTGGTGCTGATATCTTTCCCATAATGGATGTCCTGAAAGTCAATCATTTCATATTCCTTAGCAGTCATCAAGCTCTCTCACTATGAAATACTATTATTTTTTGGCTTTGGTCCTTGAAAACTTTGTGCTTTCTTTTTATACTTAAGCTGGGGTAAGGCCTTATTCTCATTTTGTAGTGCCAACAAACAGACTTTTCACCCAGCAGTGCCTCACTAACCACTGTGCCAATCATTATTTGATGTCCTAAGGAGTATACTTTCTCACTAGGTTGCTATACATGCACATTACTCCACAAACTACCCCAATAAGGAGAATCAAATGCACATATTTCAGTTCTGCCAAAAATCTCACTTGAATATTGGGACTGTATGAAGTCATCTAGTAGGCAGATCTATTGGAACTTGGACTCAAATGAAAGTATTTTTATCTATTTACACTAATTCTGCAATAAAGGACTAACCCAATGGCCTCAGTCTCCCCCACCCCTTTTTAAAAACTGGTTCCAATATGATCTTATAATGCCGGCATGAGCATCTGGTTAACTTGATTTCTAATCTTTTTTTATCTTAGGAACATAATTTATCATGGTGTACTCTCTCATAAAGACATGTCACACTATTACCTGTTTAGATCTTTCCATTTCAGCAAAATAAAATTTTTCCCAAGAAATCTTCATATTTCACACCCTTTTAGATAATTCAGGGCTATGAGTTTCAGTTCACTTCCTACTTCTGGAGGCCATTTGTTGAAGTTTTCTAATCTGTGATAATTCTATACTGCTCGATAAACTTTGTGGATTCCATGAACTTCAAGGAGAATGATGAATTACTTAGCACAAAGATTTACAAGGGGAATGGTCAACAGAACTTATACATAAGTGGATTCTTAAGCAAAACTCATTAAAATACATCAGAACAGATGAGATTTAACTTACTCAAAAATGTAATAACAAAGACTTCAACCATCTGAGGATCAAATCAAGCATATAGTTTTAGGGAAGTAGATTGTAACCATCCAGAAAGACAAGATCTAATTGTTTTATGATAATTCTAAAGAAGGAATTATTAACAAGAAAATTCTCTACATGGCGTCTAGAAAAGAATCAATAAAAGAAATACTGTGCATAAGTAATCTTACACGCCTTGATAAGGGATATAGACAAGCTGATAATTTGAAAGATCTATCCCTGCAATGGCATTGAGGTACCAAGACATCCCAATAAGTGTCATTAGCCATTGTAATAGTTTCCTAACTTCATTTGTTCTGACTTTTTGGTCTTTAAATAATCTGATTGCAATTACTTTCCTATATAAATTCTGTTATAGTGAGAACATTTGCTATCCAGTTGATATGTGTGTTCTAGCCTATTTGGCAGTTGCTTCTCAGTGTAAGTGAGTAAATTGATGTTTGGCTTACACATTATTTCATATGGGTTTTAATAACATCAATCTTTTTATCTTAATCACCCGTGAGCACACTGAAAATGATGAATCTTGATGTGCATGGTCAGCACCAGTGAAGCATATTGAGTTCAGTGAAGATTGCTATCCTTAGAAACCTTGCCTCAACATCAGCCAGTCTTCTCTTACATTCATTTGTCTACACCTGTAATAAAATTCACAGATTCATTCCTACCACTTACTTCCATGTAGAATCATAGTATCTGCTATCAGGAGTCACCTTTTACAGCACTAATAAACAATTGTTCAGTTTAATAGTCAGAATATACTATCATAGATGGAGACATTAGCCATGAAGAAAGACACGCAAACACATACACACACACAGGAAGAAATGTCTTATTGACTGTAATCATACCACTTCCATTTCATCTAGATGATTAGTGCTGGACTCATTTTCCTAACTTCTATCCATGAAGATATAATTTTCACCTTTTCAGAATTCTGAAATATAATCTCTACCCATAACCATCTTACATATTATCATGGTAGTTGCATCTATAGAAAAACATAGCATCTAGGATATATACAACTTCTACTGCCATCCTGGAAAAAAAATCCACATGCCCTCAGGAGGATTATGGGAGCCTATGGCACATCTTCCACATAGATGTTATAAGGTATTCTGCATTGGTGGCCTGTTTCATTGCCTTCCTATGAAGTTTCAGATAACATGTTTTCAAAAGAGTGGAAAATTTTGTCAGGGAAAGTAGTGTTATGGATCTACAGTGTTATCATGTACAATGTTTCACTGCCCACAGTTCCACCATTTTTTGAAGTCAGTATGATTGTTTTTGCATATGTAACTTAGTAGTCACCCCATACTTTTTAGCCGTTGATCACAAATACAGCTTTGAGAATTCAGTCTTTGATTCTTAGGTCTGTTTGAACTTAGTTCCCATTTATTGATTTCTAGTACTTTGACCACAATATTCTCATTCTCCTATATATCCTTACTGTAAGAAGCCAATTATGACTGTATCCACCAACCCTGTTTGCTTCATAGTAATCAAATTGAGGACATGTAGAATTTCAATCCTCCTGAGTCATGGAATACTCATCTGTTTGGGTGCAAAATATGGCTCTGTGTCTATCTTAGGGAAAAGGGAACTAATAGATGGTGAATTTCTACTTTATGCCAAACATTATACTATGTGATTTAATTTGCTAATAATACTAACTTAAGTTCCATATTAATAAATATAGAATATTTATTTCTAACATTTAATCACATTTGTTTATAAGAGGAGTGTTATAAATTCAATTTCTGAATAATGAAATCATGATACAAAGCTGTTAACAATGTGCCTGAGTCACATAGCTAGTGAGTACGTGAGCCAGACTATGAAAGCATATCTTTTCTGATGCCAAAGCCTTGCGATCTCTGATAGAGAAGGGACCATTTCCAAGTCACATACATAATTGCCCTAAACTGACTCAAATATGCCTCTCATAGCCATTCTGTACGAAGTGGACACTCTAGTAACTGCTATTTACGTAGACACTCTCTGGAACTCATGTTCTAGATAGTAGTATGTAAAGGAAGTATACACAAGTACCTTTTAGGACTTTAAATTACATTTGTTTTCTAATGAGCTGCAGAAAGCTCTTGACATATCTCAAAATATAGTACATGTGCATTATCTGATTGGGTAGGCTCCTGTCTTTTGAGTCAGGAGTGAGTTCCTCACTCAAAATTATTAAGTCTTGTTGAACAAATATTTATAATCTGCACAATTCCAGGAAACAAGGAAAATGAGTTTTTTTATTATTTGCCATCATTGTGGGAAAATTAAGGGTAAAATAAGAGTTTGATGAATTCAGACAATAATTAGCTATTTAATTTTGAGAAATTCTTTTCTAGGGTGAAATTAGAGGAAGACAAGCTACAAGCTACTTTTCAATTCTACCCATAATTATGATAACAACTATCAAATGTTAAGTTTCCCTTACCATGACTCTGGTCCATGAATCCTTTGTTACATCTATTGACTTTATAATATCTGAGAAGGCAAAGGAGACAATAGGTTTGTAATCTGCCATTTAAATATGCCTTCCTCTTACATAGATTAAATGTACCTGTGTATAGTATAAAGACTGTTTTTTCCAAGTTCAATTGTTTCAGATCTGAAAGGGTCTGTTATGACTCTGCTTGCTGTAGTTTGAATAAGTATCCTACAAAGACTTGTGTATTAATGATTTTGTTAATCAGGCTTCAGTAATGTTAGAAGTGGTAGAAACTTGGAAGAGGGGTTCA